ATGGATGGATGATGGATGGATGGATGGATGATGGATGGATGGATATGGATGGATGAGTTGATGCCTGGCATGGATGGAACCATGTCCAGCTGGGCTGGAGCAGTGTCCAGCCAGGAGGAACACACAGCTGGGCTGGGATCGTTATGGAATAGAGATGGGAGAAATGGGAATGGGAATGGGAATGGGAATGGGAATGGGAATGGGAATGGCATGGCTGTGAGGACAGGAGCTCACGGGGATGGGAATGGACAGCAGCCACCAGGGACAGGAGTGCGATGGCAGCGGGGTGGGAATGGGAACAGTGAGAATGGGAATGGTGGGAATGGGAATGGTGGGAATGGAGCAGGGGGGAATGGGAATGGGAGCAGGATGGGAAGGGGACAATGGCACAGCAGCAGTGAGGACGGGAACACCAACGTGCTCCTGCAGCACCCAAAACATCCAGAGATAAAAATCTCCATCCTTAAAAATTCCTGCCCCAATTAGTGGTGCATCCCCAGAACGTGCCGGGGGAAATCCGCTCCGTCACCATGCCCGGGTGGATCTGGGTGGATCCAGATGGATCTGGGTGGATCCAGGTGGATCCGGATGGATCCCGGCTGGGGGACCACACACATGCTGAGCACAGCTGCTCTTGGTCTCCTCTCAAAATATGGGAAAAATTCCTGGAATCAGCAGATCTTGGAACTGGGATTCAAGGAAACGCCCGCCCGGGGATGTTTCACAACAGCCTCACGACTCACCAGACCTGGAACTACGTCTTCAGTGAATGAAAAACCCTCCTGGTACCAATTCCAGCCGCTCCTCCAAAGGGAGCTCAGCAGGAAATCCAGCTGGAAACACCAAAAGTGTCGAGGAAAAACAGAGATCTGCGAGCTCTTTTTCTGCCTTCCAGCTTTTAAATCTCATCCCAATCCCTCTGAAGGTTGTTTTTTTTTCCAGTTGATTTGAATCTCCTCTTCCAAAAAACGCCCAAATTTTTCAAACAAGATCCCAGCAGCGCCACCCTCCGGGATCACGATCCAGCGTTTCACACCATCCATGGATTTCAGCTTGTTTGATGAGACAAAACGCATTCCAAGGGGGAAAAGGGGAGGAATTGGCTGGAGAAGCAGGATTTAGGTTATCCCTCAGCAGTCAGTTGGAATTTCCCATGGATGGATCATCCCAGGTGATCAAAGACTCATGCCATCCTTGGCCACCCTCCCAAAGGAGCTGAGATGCCGGGAGCCGACCATCCCAGGAAAACACCTCCAGCTGCCTGATTTTCCAGGCTCTGCAGCCATGGAAATCCCATGGAAAACTCACAGGGATCCCCCAGGCTGAAATCCCACGGCAGCTCCCGTGGCTCCATCACACAGATCCCAAAAATCACCCCGGACTCCCTGGATGCTGTGAGGAGGCAGAGTGGGAATGCCAGGAGTGAGGTGGGAACCCAGGGAACTCCCTGGGATGTCCATGGATATTCCAAGGAATGCATGGACACCTCAGGGATGGCATGGACACCCTGGGGATGGCATGGACACCTCAGGGATAGCATGGACACCCCAGGGATGGCATGGACACCTCAGGGATGGCATGGACACCCTGGGGATGGCATGGACACCTCGGGGATAGCATGGACACCCCAGGGATGGCATGGACACCTCAGGGATGGCATGGACACCCTGGAGATGGCATGGATACCCCAGGGATGGCATGGACGCTCCAGGGATGGCATGGACACCCTGGAGATGGCATGGACACCTCAGGGATGGCATGGACACCCTGGCAAGCAGCCTGGGAATCTCAAGTGGGAGCTTGGGTACCCCAGGGAGCAGAGCCAGCATCCAAGGAATCAGAGAAAGCATCTTAGGCACCGGACAAACACCTTAAGGATGGCACTGCCACTCCAGGGACACCCCGAGTGGGGGTTTGGGTACCCCAGGAAGGGTAGCGGGGATCCCAGGGAGCAGAGCAGGCATCCCGGGGATCAGCACCGGCATCCCGGGGATCAGCACCGGCATCCCGGGGATCAGCACCGGCATCCCGGGGATCAGCACCAGCATCCCGGGGATCAGCACCGGCATCCCGGGAAGCGGAGCGAGCACCTTCGGGAGCGGAGCAAACACCTTAGGGATACAATGGGCACCTCAGGGCTAACGTGGGCTCCCCAAGTGGGGGCTCAGCTTCTCCAGGGAATGGCGTGACTCCTCCAGGAAGCAGAACGGATTCCTCAGGAAGCAGAACGGGCATCCCAAGGAGCGGCGCGGGCAATCTGGGGATAGCGCAGGCATCCCGGGAATCGGAGCGAGCATCTCCGGGACAGGAGCGAACAGCTTAGGGATGGCATTGACACCCCAGGGATAGCGTGAACTCCCTGGGAGCTTGGGAAGCCCAGGGAGTGGCGTGATTCCCGGCGTGATTCCCGGCGGAAGTCCAGCAGGCTCACGTGGGAACGGAGCGGGAATCCCGGGGAGTAGCGCGGGCATCCCGGGAAAACGGAGCTCGCACCTCCGGGACGGAGCGGACACTCCGGGGAAGGTTTAGAGACCCAGGAAAGGGCGCGGGCACCCCGGGGAAGGTGGGGAGATCCCGGGGAAGGCTCGGACAAGCCGGCGGCGAGCCGGGGAGCCCGGGGCAGCTCCGCTTACCGGTGTCGGCGGCGGCGCGGAGCAGCAGCAGAGCGGCCGTAGCGCAGAACAGCGGCAGCAGCGGCCGTGCCATGGCACCGGCCCGGGGACAGCTCCGGGGTCTGCGGGAGATCCGTGGCCCTTCCCTGCCGCTGCTGTCGCGGTTCCCGAGAGGTTTCGCTTTCGCTTTCGGGACGGTGCCACCGGCAGGGACGCACCGCCCTGCCGGGATGGGGAGCCAGGGACGGGGAGGGAATGCTGAGAGAGCTGGGGTTGTTTATCCTGGAGAAAAGGAGACTCGGAGGTGACCTTGGCGCTCTCTAAACTCCCTGGAAGGAGCCTGGGGTCAGCTGGGGTCGGGCTCTTTCTCCAGAAAACAGTGAGAGGACACAGCCTCAAGCTGCGCCAAGGGAAATACAGGCTGGGTTTAGGAAATTAGGAAGAAGATTTTTACAGAAAGAGTGATAAAAGAGTGGAATTTTCTGTCTGGGGAGGTGGTGGAGTCAC